CAGCTGACGGAAGCAGGGCTGGACGGGGGCAGTGAGGCTGGTTGAGGGACCGGGGCTGACTGAGGGAGATTGGTGGAGGGTGGGGGGAACCAGCCACCGGAACTAGGGCTGGAAGGGGGCAGCAGGGCTGGACTGGGGAGATTGGGAGGAGAAGCAGGGGGGACTGGGACTGACCTGGGCGCATGCACACACTACAGACCCTGGCAGACGAGTGAGTCTAGCCGGGGATTCCATTTTGCCCATCCCCCCCCATACCTTCCCTTGAGTAGTATTAAACAGCGGTAGCACATCTACAAGCCAGGCAGTTCGCACTTACTGATACACCTAATTATAATAAAACTTACCTAATCAGAAAATACCGGACATTTTATTTGTTTCCCGGACAGAACCCTGACTGGCCAGTACAAAACCGGACACCTGGCAAACCTACCCCACCTTGCATCCTCCCTTTTAGCGAGATACCCTACCCCCAATCTACTCCTGCTCCCACCTCCTGGAGAGGCTGTACAGCACCAGGTCCCCGAAGCCCTGGCCCAGGCTGGGCAGAGGATGCAGCCAGGTGAAACACTGAAAATGTATTCATTTTTAATTATTTTTTTTAATATGTGTTTATATTTTTGGGCTGCAAAAAACAGTATTGGAAAAAACAGGTTCCAACTAAAGTAAAAAGTTTGGAAAACCCTGGTCTAGCCAGCTTTCTATCCATCTTACAGTCCATTTATCCAATCCATATTTCCTTAACTTGCTGGCAAGACTATTGTGAGTAAATGTATCAAAAACTTTGCTAAAGTTGGCACTGGCGACTTTGGGAAGACCAGAAACAACTTATTTGAATATTCATCATTTGCTTAATGAATATGCGAATATGCAAATGAATGCTACCAGTCCTCCAAAAGCTTGTGAATGGATTTACTGGTCCCTGTGTCAAAAAGTTTGGGAGCCCCTGTTCTAGACAAACCTTACTCGTGAAAAGTATTAAAAAAAAATCTAAAGAAGTTTACAGACTGAAATCCTAATTATTAATCCATCCTTTTATGACTAATAGGGAGTCAAAATAAGCGCTCAATATTGTAATAATAGCATTAGGGATACAGGGAGTACAGAACCTTGAGGCAAGATAACGAGTCAAAATGCTTCAGTGTCAAGAGAACCACAAAACCAGATAGGGAAATTACAGAGGTTGTTTCTGATTAATTAGACTTTTAAAAAATTATAAGGTAGTGCAAAATGTTCTTTACGCAAAATACTATATCTCACCAACAATGACTTCAACTGCCACAGGAAAATTGTCATCATATCCCAATTCCTCTTCCTCTTTCAGCCCCTCCTTCTTCCTCAGCACCATTGGGTAGAAATACTGCCATTCCTCAATCAATTTACGGGTTGCTGGGTCTGACATCTTGTATGCTTGCCCCGTCAATGTGCCATTTAAACCATAAGGACTCAACAGAACTGAAAAATAATAAAAAAAACCCCACTCTCTACAATATGTGGATTTCATTCACAGAGCAACCACATCCCACTTCCCCTAGATTTATTCAGTCGTGTTTGCACTATGATTTTAGACAGCTCTTTGCATTTTGTTCATTTTTCAAAATATAATGTCCACAACTTCATTTAGTAAAACAAGGGAATAAATATTAAGAGGCATAAAAATAGCTATGGATCAATGGACTAACATAAGACATACTTCTGATGACATCCAGTAATACAGTATGTAATACTTTATGTAAGTGAAATGTTTTCTTCTCTAAATTGCACAGAATATGATTATGGCACACAACACCACACAGTACCCTAAAAACAAAACCAAACAAAAAAGGCTGTGAAACGCTGTAACTTCAAAAGTATATCAGGTATGTATCTTTTTATATATTTTAAATGTCATTCTTCTCTTTGTGCTCGGTATTTTCATCTTTCTTTCAAAAAAAATTCTGCATTTTGACATATGTGTTGAACCACAAACTCACATTGAAGGAAAAATAAAAACGAGGGACTGTCACTCAGACAAAAAAGAAAATAATGTATTTTACCCATTATTTCTATTGCAGTAACATTTAAGAAGATTATTCATAGATCAGAGTCCATTGGAACTTTTGAAGCTCTACCAGGGCGGGGAATAATTTTTGGTGGGGGCTTACTCCAAGAATTTGGAAAATGGTCAAAGGCTGCACTCTTCCATGATATTAATGGTGGCAGTGTGGGGTATGGGATAGCGGTTGGTTTCAGAATGGGACTTAGGATAAGGGACTGAGCGGAATATAGGAGGCGGTGTAGGGTCTAGAAGGGCATTTGGGTGAAGGAAGCAGTTGTGATCTCAGATAGAAAACTGGAGTGCAGGGGGGAATGCAGGACTTTGGGTTGTGACCTAAGCCAGGAGGGAGTTGTGACCAAAAAAAGAGGACTAGGGTGCAAGAGGAGGCACAGGGTTTGGGCTGTGACTTAGGGCAGGGTCTCAGAGGGCTCCTCTCCTGCTCCTCATGCTGCTGCCTCTGTATCAGAAAGGGGAGGCCCTGCATGTAACCATGAAAGTTAATCAATGAGCCCAGATTTTACTGGTTAACCATGAACACTTTCACATCCCTACTAAAACCTTTAATACTATTTTAAAAATTACTGAGTTTTGTTTCTTATTCATTTCTAGATCTGGTTCCTGACACCATTACTGGGGCCTTTTGATATCATATAGGTATCAAATAGACACATAAACCACATGTTCTGCAAGTATTTATACTTCCAGAGATGCCACAGTCAACAGTGTACTTACCTTGGAATGGTGCAGGTGAGGACAGGGCCATGCGAATATGCTCCTCATTGATCAGATAGATCGGCTGGTGTTGGACAATCTCCACACTTGTGCACACATTGCTTTCCCCATGAAGGAAGAATGTGAATGCGCAAGACAAATGTTCGCTGGATAAAAAGAAGTAAGAAAACTCATTCACTAGCATATCAATGAATGTGGATGAAGAAAGGACAAATGTTGTAGGGGGGTGGTTCAGATTGGGTTGAAAACCCAATTCTGTTGTTTCACATAAGTAAACTGAGCTCAGGACCACTGAAGAGTACCGTACATAGCACAATTACCAAATTCTGGCTAATGAAGGAACAGTATTAACATCAATCTCAGATATTTACTTCTGTACCCATTTCAATTAAAGAAAGCTCACCACAAACAGTTGTCCACAAGTGGAAGGCTTCAAGAAGTCAAAATGCTATCTTCAGGATCAAAACTTTTAGGACAAGAAATAAACTTCAGCTGAGAACAGGAATGGGAAGGAAGAACCATTCCTTACATGCTTAGCAAATATTGGGTTTTTGAAAAAAAGTTATAGACAATGGCTCAAACGGCAATTATCTCCATAAACTGGTGCTCTAGGCTGCCTTGACACTGCAATTCACTATCAACGATAAATGTTCAATAAATAATAATGAAAATAAAATGTTCCCACTTAATCCACCAAGCAAAATTTTGTATTACATTACATCTAATCATTTCCTTAAATGTTACCAAATGTAATGTCTCAGTTCTCAAATAACTAAAAACTACAGCAAAACAACAAAAAACCAAGCCCATATCAATTTCCCATTTTTTTGCCTTCAATACAGTCAGCCGGAAATGTACAGAGCTCAGTTAGTATTGTTCGGATACATTATTACAGATTTACAATGGCGGGGTATTCTTTAATAGTTGTTGGCTTTGGCACTAAGCCAGTCACAACATAAATACCTTCACGTAAGGAAATAATACCGGCAACTGTAACAATTTCACTTCACAGTTTAAGCCAACTAACTGAAGCAGTGCTGTAAACCATTTTTGAATAGTTGAGAATGGATAGTTGAGAACAGGATGCTCTTTAACTTTCCTATATCTCTAAGGGTATGTCTACACTACCCCGCTAGTTCGAACTAGGGGGGGCAATGTAGTCATACGGAGTTGCAAATGAAGCCCGGGATTTGAATTTCCCAGGCTTCATTTGCATGAAGCCGGCTGACGCCATTTTTAAATGCCGGCTAGATCGGACCCCGTGCCGCGCGGCTACACGCGGCATGGACTAGCTAGTTTGAATTAGGCCTTGTGGAACGAGGTGTACAGCTAGTTTGGATTAGGAAGCCTAATCCGAACTAGCTAGTCCGTGCCGCGTGTAGCCGCGCAGCACGGGGTCCGACCTAGCCGGCATTTAAAAATGCGCCGGCCGGCTTTATGCAAATGAGGCCTGGGAAATTCAAATCCCGGGCTTCATTTGCAACTCCGGATGACTACATTACCCCCCCCTAGTTCGAACTAGGGGGGTAGTGTAGACATACCCTAAGTTAATCTATATTTATTGTATAATGTTTATCCTTAAATAAAAGCTATGCTTCTGTTTTAAGCTGCTACAACTGAGTCTATTAAAAATAAAAGTTCACTCTAGAAAAATCTGGGGACAGGTTATTTTACAAAGCATCAAAATGGAAGGTGGAAAAGCTTTTATTCAACATCTTCAGCATTGAACATCCTGTGTTTAGATGTACTTTGCATAATTCAGCAATGGGAACTAACAAGTTTTACTTGACTTAGACGTCACAACAGAAAATAAATACTAATTTTACTGCTTCACCACTTGTACACTAGATTTAAACTAACCACTACATTTTTATAGCAAGCTGTGAGGGAGAAAGGAAATGGGTCATAGATTCAAGGATATTTCTATTCAGCACTCTGCTCTTCGAGAAAAAGAAAAAAGCTCAAAACCAAACAAAAGTCTATGTAAACAAATAAAATCATGAGCAGAACTCAAATTATTTAATTAAGAATAATAGTCCCTGGAAAAAGGATGATGCCCTTTTATATGTATAATTCTTTCATTGCAAAATGATGGAAAGTCTAGTCTAAGATTTG